CGAAAGCACTTTTTATTTCTATTTCCCCAAGGTCAAACTGTAAGAACTAAATTCGCCTTCTATTAGCGCGTAGTTCAGTCGCGTGGAGTCGTTGTACCGAAACCATTTCGGAGCCAAACGAAGTTTAGGAGTTTTTACCTGTAGCTAGGAGTTTAGGAGTTCTCTACCCCGGAGTGAAGATCCGATGTAAGTTACGCTTCTGACAGTCCTCATTTTTATCATTTCTAATTTCGCTTTATTCGTTTATTCGTAGCCTTTCCGTTTTCCTTATATCGAAATTCCATGTATCCGATCTATAGTTTTTACCGCCTGTGCTGTACAAATACTGCCAACTTAAGCGAATAAAAGTTTGATGCTAGCCCCTATGGTTATTCCAGGCTGCTAGTACTCCAATTTTATTTCTAATGATTTCTTTCAATTTTATAACTTATCTGCCTAGAGAAAGTATGAATGCGAGTACAAATAACGATTATCCGCTATCCGTTATTCGTAAAAGTTCATCACTGTGGTTATACTGGCGAACTCCCGTGCACAACACCACTTATCCGGCGGTATCGGAGACGCGACAACTTCAACTTCGAAATAAAATTGCTTCAGGTTTGAGGTGGCCCCCAAGCATCAAATCACTTTAAATAACATAGTCCTTTCATTCTCTTTACTGCACATAGGAGGCAAGGCTTTGATTAAATGTTCCTTCAGCGAATTATTTTTCGGTAGGTTATAGTAGATTTCTCAAGTCATGACCCAAGACCGTCTTTGGCCTTTTTGCTCTCCAAGTCTGTTGTTCATGGTAGGTAGGCATGTATCTTAACAACAGTTATGGTCTTGCCTCAATAAACTCCTTTTCAGTTTGGCTTATTTTTTGCTGTGTTTTAGGGTAATTTTTATCATTGCCTTTTTAAACTTGAAGTGCTAAATAGAGGAAAAACTTCGTAAAACTTATTTATCACATGGCCCCAAAATCCCTCAATACTGTCAGTTAACTGTTTATTTGTCTAGCTTTTGGTCTAACTAGTCCATTCATCTCTAAAAAAAATGTGTGGGCTTTGCCTCATAAGTTAAAAATGGTGCCGTTTTCTTCATGTTCATGTGTTATTCGAAAGGAATGGCGTCAGCTGTATTCTATTCTGAAGGGTGAAAGTTTCTAAAGAATCTGTGGTGCTGCGTTGGTGGAGGTAGCAAGGTAATTTGGTTTTATCAACTAGGTTTAAATTGTAAATTGGCCACCGTAACGAGTTAAAAAGCTGACGTTTCGAACATTCGGCCCTTCTTCAGAGCGAATGGAGGAATTGTGGGTTGAGTGTGGGTTTATATGCAGAAAGCGGAGCTACGCTATTGGTGACATTTCAGCAGACTTTCCACGCATTCTGAAGTAAAAACAACCAAAAAAAAAAAAGAGAAGAAAACTGACCTTGATTGCATCAGGTTCATAAACACTGAGTGTGAGTATAAATCGTAACTTGTCAGCGGTAGTACTGCATGTAAAACCCACCACTCACGCGAAATTAATACTATC